GTTGAATCGCTCACTGATTGATGCTTTGAGATTACTAAAGGTTGAGTACATGGTAATCCCATAATCTTGCATGAGCTTTTTGAATTCGCTATTGTAAAACTCTTTGCCTCTGTCCACATGCCGCTTCTGTGGTACACGACCCTGTTCAAGTATGGAGGCCATAGCACTGCTCACATCCTTCCCATTCCTCGTCTTGGTCGGCACAGCCCAGGCATATTTCGAGAAGATATCGATAACTGTTAGGAGGTATTTGTAACCTCCATTCTCACGAGCATAGGCACTCATGTCCACAAGATCTGCCTGCCATGTCTCATCCACCCCGCGAACTTCAACACGTCGACGAGCATAATTCCTGCGAGCAGGTCTATGGAGCTCCTCCACTACTCTCGCATTTTTATCGTCCATTCTCCAGTGCAATTAGACATCTACCCAGATCACCAATTATTTAAGAATTGCATAGCACCAAATTCTGGTTAGTCGCTTGGTCTTTTCTTATTCTCTCTAATTGCTCGTTTATCAGTGAATCTTTTAGTATTGTCAGCTCCTCGTTTAGACGTTGAATGGTCTCAGAATGACTCTTCAAACATTCTTGTACTTCCTCCTCACTAAGACCTCTTCGTCTCATAGTCTCCAGGAAATTCGCTCGAAATGAGTCAATCATCGTTTCAATCCCATCAAGTCTACCATCCATGGATCCAGTCACATTATATATGAGACAAAGCTCCTCCTTCAACATACTGTACAATATCTTCAAAGATGTAGCGTCATTCTCTTCTTCAGGATCCGCCAAATTATATAATCTCCGATGATCCATATCGTAGTGTCCATTAGGCGTGACCTTGAATCCTTCACCTGGAGGACCTCGGCTACCGATAGTTCTCACAGCACCAGTGCCCAACTGGCGTCCGAACACGTCGACACTCATGTTTCAAATGATGGGATTATTGCGACTACAGCTCAATAAATAATATCAGCTTCACGTAATTCCTCGATTATTGACATAATTTCATTGGTATGACTCATATTTTCGGCTGACTGTGATGCCATAAGCAGTCGAAGTCTATCCACCAGCTCATTAGGATCGTCCCAGTACACATAGTCAATTCTCCTAGGTTTCGCTGAAGCAATCATATGATGAGGGAGAGCCATTCCAGTTTTCTTAGATTTGATGAGCCCTTCAATAATGAAACGATATTTCATCATGTTACTTTTTCGAAGAGCTCCATTTGGTGTGTAGTACATTCGATGTGCATGCGTACTCCGTATGATATCACCGCAGGTATGGTTATCGGTTTCGGTTATGAGACTCATGTTGGGGATGTCTTAAAAATCAATTCGATTAAACCTGGAGTCAATGTATATTCATCACCCTTGAGGGTCATTGAATCTCCATGGAACGTGACCAATGAATCACCAATCTTCATACCGCTTTTCAGGTAACGAACACCAAATTCCTTATCCAAATCACTATCTTCACGCTATGCATTATAACGATCCAAATATGTTTGAAGAAGCTTCAGTGAGGCTATAGGAGATTGCAGCTTAGTTGATGAAATACAATCAGTTGGAGTCGTGACTTTTATTGGCGATATTTTCTTCATTGGAGTGCTTGAATGTGCTTCTTCTACGTTCAATGGGAGATCTACCAGAGTTTGATATTCAGAAGAATCATCAAAATCGTCATCCTTCTCCTCCTTCATCCGTGTCAGAGTAGCGAATATTTTGTTCTCTTCGTCCTTCTTATGTGACTATTCCTTCATTACCGACTGATCTACCAATTTTTCAAGAGGAGTTATCACTGGTTTGAGCACTTCACTCATAGCTTTCTCAGTGGTCTCCCTACACAATTTTATCATTTTATGCTTGCGGCGAATGGCATTACTCGCCTGAGCAATATTCCGCAAGATATGCGTCTCCTTCTTGAAATTTTCGCTCTGCATGTTGACAGTTGTGCGTTCGGCCAACAACTACTCTCAGTCTCTGTGAATGGAGCGTATCTATCTCTTCGGGAAAATATTGAATCCTTTTCGATATCTGCCCTCATCAATTTCACTGTCTTTATCAATCGCCATGAAACTGTATTTGCCCTCATTCCAATACTTGGCACATAAGTCCTTGAACTCAACAAATGACATATCAGTATTAACATGATCCTCATAAATGTGCCTCAGATTCATGTCGTCTTAGCGTAGCGAAGAGTATTAGGGGATTGGTGTTGTCCCGCACGAGATGTTTGGGTACGTGTCGACATCCTTATGTCGTCCCATGCAGAAGAATGCTCGCATATTATCCTGTTTCTCGCAGGCCACATCATCGAAAATCATGATGGAATTTTGTCGGGCATCCTCTGGCTTGATGAATTCCTCATGCTCGCTGATGGCGAAATCTCCTATACCCCTAACAGCGAAGAGCAGACGTTTGAGTAACTGGTACTTGGGTTGATGGAGAGATTTTGAGTACACGTAGATATTCTCAAATCTCAAACCATTGGGGTGGACTATGAGCGCTAATAGAGCGTTTCTTTTTCCACAATTTGCGGGTCCACAGATGACTGCACGCACAGTATTTGATAATATAGGGGAGGCCCATGACGTCTCTCCCTAGTCTTCGTTTTTCGCGTCAACTCCTCAAAGTTCATTATTGGTAGTTTAGTGTTTTGCTCTTTGAAGCGCATGGTTGATGACTGACTGCAGGATGATGAATATCTGTCATTTATAGATTTTCGATTCGATGGTCGTTAATGCTCGAGCATCATCATGCTTACTCAGTATCTACTACCAGTTCAGTCGCTGATCTATAAATACATGGTGTTGAACTCATCACTAGTCAATCCTTCTATAGCCATGAAAGTGTATAAATGTAAGAAAGGACGTCAAGGTGAAGGGTTAGTGAAGAGTCTCATCAATAAACTCCCTGTGGAATTGCATATACCGGGCTACCAGTATTGTGGCCCTGGTACAAAACTACAGAAGCGATTGAAACCGGGTGACCCTGGCATTAATCCACTTGACGCCGCCTGCAAAGAACACGACATAGCCTACTCGAAAAATGGAGATAACCTCACTGCAGGACACGAAGCAGATAAAATTCTCACGGAAAAAGCCTGGAAATGAGTCTTATCGAAAGACCCAGGTCTTCGTAAGAAAGCTGCCGCTTGGGGTATAGCTAACGACATGAAAGTAAAAACCTCCCTAGACATGGGAATAAAACAAAGCAAAGGAGTTAGGAAGAAGAGAGGGAAAGGTAATAGTCGATGTGGAAAAAAGAAAAAAGTGTCCCTGCGACAAATTTCACAAGCTGCCAAAACATCTATGCGTCCAGGAACCGACGCCATCAAAACGGCGCTGGAAGGCGCACGCGCCGTAGTAACAAGGATTAGTGGTAAAAAGCAGGTGCTATTGCCTCGCATTCTACCTGTACCCGCCAAAATTGGAGGTATAATACCCTTATTGATACCGCTGTTTGCGGGCTTGAGTGCCACCGGAGCTCTAGCTGGTGGTGCAGCAGGAATTGCAAGAGCCATCAATGACGCTAGTGCAGCTAAGAAAGCTCTTCAGGAGAGTATGAGACATAATGAGACAATGGAGTCCATTGCATTGGGCCAAGGATTGTACTTGAAATCCTACAAGAAGGGCTTCGGTCTCCATTTAAAAAACGCATAAAACTACCACACCGAGCTCTCACCGATGCCGACTTGATGAAATACGTCAAGGTTATGAGAATCCCACATTTTCGTGGCGTATACATGAGGAATGAAATGCCCGAGTCAGGTCCACGCAAATATGAATCGGCTATTGTCAATTTTGATGACAAGGACGGGTCTGGAACGCATTGGGTCGCATACAAGATACGAGGGAATGAAATTATCTATTTTGATAGTTTTGGTAATCTTCGACCACCTCAAGACCTGACGGATTACTTCGGTGTTGGTAGCATTGTCAAGTACAATCATAAATGCTATCAAGATTATGATACGGTGGTGTATGGACATTTATGTCTGAAATTTCTCAATGGAGAAATGATATAAAACCTCAATACGTTACTCTATAAGCATCAGTTAGATATCAGCTGCGATGAGTGACTCTTTACATTGACATTAGCAGGCACCTCTTCGGTGTTGGAGGCTCATTACTTTCCTCCAATTGAATTATCACCATTGAAGAATTATACTCTGGGATTGGCTGAACTATTAACCTTCAATTCCATTCCCTATATTGACACCGGGAATAACAAATTTTATGTGGACGATAGAGTTATTGAAATACCTACAAAGACCTACGAAATTGAAGATATTGAGAATTTCTTAGATGAGAAGGTCGCTGAATATAACATAAATATCTGCCTTAAGCCCAACAATAACACTATGAAGAGTATAATCAAGTGCAATCACCCGATAAATTTTGATCCAGAAGATTCGATTGGGCGGTTATTGGGCTTCACACACGGTATTCTCCCGCCCCATATCAGTCATGAATTTGACTCACCAGTGACGATTCTCAAGGTGAATTCTCTGCGAGTCGAGTGCAACATCACCACTGGAAGGTACATCATTGAACAGCCAGTACACACTGTCCATGAGTTCTTCCCAACTGTTCCACCAGGATATAAGATCATTGAGGTGCCATCAAACATCATTTATCTTCCGATCGCCGTGCAGGCAATAGATCATCTCCAAGTGAGAATTGTCGATCCAGAAGGTCAATTGGTGAATTTCAGAGAAGAGGTTATAACCTCTTCTCTGAAATTAACAATAAGATTGCACATCAAAGCCTAATATGGGCATCGTTTTCAATACCAAATCCGGAGGTCGTTATAAAAGTGAATCACCATTGCCCATTCGAAGCAGTCATCGACGACCTCTCAAGGCGTTAACACCCCAGAACCTAAAATTCCTCAAGAGTTTGAGTCTCAAAATTCAGAAAAAAGGAGAAGAAGAAGAGAGTGAAAAGGAAAATCCATAGTCTCCTCTGTTGTTGCATTATCATCTACCATCGTAAGCCATGGAGGAGATCCTGAAAATTCAAAAGCCCATCGTCTTCGACGAATCTATTGCCCATTACGAGATTCATGCACATCAGCCTTTTGCATCGGCAACGTTCAACAACAACGATGAAATTCGCATCGCGTCCAGCATCAAGATTTGTGCCTGCTGCCGAGTAAGAGTTCACTGCATGTACACGGACGCTTGACGAAAGCGGATGGAGGAGCTGTAGAGCACACGAGATTAGTGAATTGTGCTATTCTCCATTTATGTGAGGAGATCCGCTATGAATTGAACGCCATTGTGATTGATAGAAACAAAAATGTTGGCAACATGACACTGATGAAGAATTACGTGTCGCAAACTCCCGATCAAGCTGCTCTTCTGGAAAATGCTGGTTGGGTAGTCAAGGACAATGAATCAGCAATTATCGATGCGAATGGCTATTTTGATATCTCTATACCTTTAAGTATGTTATTGGGTTTTGCTGAGGATGATGAAAGGATCATTGTGAATGCAAAACATGAACTAATCCTGATACGAGGAAATACCGACATGAATGCAGTCATCCAAGCACCGGCAGGAGAAGCTGCTGCTGAAGCATTCAGACTCTCACTGGATAAAGTAGAGTGGATGGTTCTCTACATCAGGGTAGCTGATTCCAAGAAAATCAATCTGCTGAACCAAGGATGCACCAATTCCCATCAGTTTTCGAGCCTAGGAGACGTACGAGTATCCACTTCTGCCAGCGACCTCTAAACACGTCTGGGTGGTGAAATGCTCAACTCAACTGGAGAAACCTCGTTATATCATCGCAGGATTCCAAACGAAACGCAAAACTCAAACCAATAAAAATGCCAGTCATTTCGATCATTGTAATATCCTCGACATAAAGCTCTTCCTCAATTCTCAAAGTTATCCCTATGGTAGCCTGAACATTGACATTCGTCATAATCAGTACGCATTACTCTATGACATGTATTCGAATTTCCAAAGCTCTTACTATGGCAAAGAGGCCGAGCCATTATTGAGTAAGACAGATTTTCTCATTGTCACTGATTGTTCAAAGCAAAATGAGTACTTGAAGCCCGGACCAGTTGATATTCGTCTTGAATTCGAGTCTGATCGTAATTTTCCCGCTCAAACTGCAGCTTATTGCCTAATCTTACATGATCGTATAGTGGAGTATCATCCAATCAGTGGGGGAGTGAAAAACATGATTTCAACATGAACAATTATGGTTATCAATGATATTTTATTTTTTCCATGTAATATTTTTTTGATATAATAAATTTTTGTGTACATTACATGTATATCTGCATTTTTTATTGAATGAAAATCAAAATCAAAATCTCTTAAACTTATTACGTTTGTATGGATGATGATGTCGTTGTTAGCTGCTCTCCTCACAGTGGGAACGTTTTACCGCAGAAGCACGTTCATCTCCATTATTAACCCTCGAAGTACTGGGTACTGGTTCCTCTTCCAGATGTTCTTCAGCACGAGGGATCTCTGCGTCGCTCTTCGGTGAAGTACTAGCGACTGGTTTTTCTTTCTCTTCTTCCGCCTCACCTTCGTCCATATCCAAGTTATGACGAAATTTAACAATTTTATAATTTCCTTGCAATTCCAGGAAATCTTGTAGAAAATCTCATGCCGTTTGCGATGGATTAATGCCGTAGTGATTTATGATGATTTCATCGTATTCGCAGACGTATGGTGCTATTGAGGTTAGCAAATTAACTTCATCAGAAGTTAGGTTATGTTCGCTTTTTGGTCCAATGCGAATACTTTTCACAACTTCCAAATTCTTCTTCAATGCGAGAAAATCGTGGAGACAATTCCATGCCGTTTGTGGTGGATTATCACCATAATGTCTGATGACAATGTCGTCGTAGTCCACCAAAAATGGTGGGAGTGCACACAGTCATTTCACTTTGCCTGGGTTCAAGTGATCCATAATGAAGACTGATGGGCTCCCAGTGAAAAGGCTTCATATCAATGGCTGGGGAATGTTCTAGAATACATTGAGACGATTTGCGCATCTCAGTCATGTATTGCAAGTTATGACGTAATTCATAAAACGAATTGGCGAGGTTTCAAGTAATTCTCTGCTGCTGTTATTCATTTTCAATATCATGAGCATGCGCTAAATATCCCAATTCCCACCTCGTTCTCTTTCACTAACCAATCCGAAACAAGTCTCCCCCACCCAGCTCATCTTCCGCACCACTACGCAGTACTTTTGAACGTGAACAGTTCTAGAAATTGTTGACATACAGTTGAGAGTATTGCGCGTAATGATGAAATCGAATGCCGTGAAAAAATCTCTTTCGTCGAGAGCAATCAGTCGTGCTCTGAACAGTGGAACCTAAAGATGGAAGTGATTTTGGACATTCAGAGATTTCAAAGTGATGGAAATACGTTCGTCGTTAAAGAGCTGGCAATTGCCTATACCAACGATCCACAGTGTGTTGAGTGTACTCTCTTCAAACCACCCTATTCATGGAATAAATTATCAACTAAATCCAAACGTTCCAACATATGACTCATGAATAACTTACATGGTATACTCTGGGGAGCTGGTGAAACACAGTACTCTAAGGTTCCACAAGTTGTTGAGGATATCGCTAAAAATGCAACTAACCTCTACGTGAAAGGAGTACAGAAAAAACTGTGGTTTCAAGATATCCTAGGAAATTCTAAATCATTGATCAATTTGGAAGATTTGGATTGTCCAAAATTATCAGACTTGGAAATTCCAAGACGTTCGAATCCCCATCACAACCATGAACCGATACCATTCGTTTGTGCTTTGGAAAACGTGAAAAGTTTAAGGACCTGGTACATGGAAAATCAGAATGTCAGTCTACATCGATCTCTGGACATTTTCTGCACCCTGAAATGTCTCAAGGGGATGAGCAGTCGAGACATTTCCGTACTTCCCAAAAAATTTCTACTCATGTTTGCGTCGTAGAGCATTGTAGATGTCTGGAATGAATTACCTGAGAGTTTGCAGAAGGATAAGAATATTATGAATTGTCGTAAATGTAACGTATATCATTCGTCTAATCCACCAATGAAAAGAAACTGTTCTGTATGTAAGTTCTTCAAGGACGTTAAACCTTATAAAGCGAAAACAAGCAGAATTATTCTCATTCACTAATCAACCATCAAGGAGATCACATTAAAAAATGGATAAACGTTCTCAAAATACGAAGTCTAGTGGGAGCAGTTGGCCTCAGGAACAGCAGCGAGAATTCGAGAATTCGAAAACCCTGGAGGGTAGCAAACCATATGACAAGGAAGCTGCTCCAGGAAAATACGGTGCTGTGGGTGATGGCCTATATAAAAATCAAAAATGAAAAAAATGGATAAACGTCCAAATACGAAGTCTTGTGGGAGCTCTTGGTTGGAGGAACAGCAGCAAGAATTCGAGAAGAAGAGGAAGCTGCTCTAGGAAAATACGGTGCTGTAGATGATGACCAATGTAAAAAATCAAAAATGAAGAAAAATTAAAAGTGGAAGTGTAAAAAAGAAATATATATATATCAATATATATATATATATATACGATATGTATTATATTTCTTTCAATTTTCCCCCTATCCGTAGAAATTGAATTAATGAAAAAATACAACATTTCAAAATCCCGTGAATGACATCAGAGAGCTCTATATTATTAACCTGTTGAAATCACTGTTACTGAGAGATATAGAAAATTTAGAAATAAAATGGAACATTACCGAATCAGAATGCTACATTCAACAATCAGAAAGCAGCATTCAGAAATTACAATGTACGATTCAGAAATAAAAAATCAGAAATCAGGAATCAGAATCAGAATTAGAGAGAAGCGATCATCAGCCCGCGAGTGGCATCGCATTGCAGCCAGTAGCGCATTACCTTACCGACTCACTCCTGCCTCGAACTCAACTCGCATACCGTCAGGTGGCGCTTGCCACTAAGTATGACGCCCCAACGGATGCCACGCGTGCACGGCTCCCTCATATTTCAGCATTGACGAGCACGCCGAACGAGGCCCGATGTCACGCCCACACGCGCACGATCTTCGCCTCGCTGACAATATCCCCCAACCACAAGCCCCTATCTACAACCCCCTCACCCCGACCCATTCTACCCACAGTGGCAACCCATTACGAAAATTCAAATTTTCCGCACTCTGATTGGTCAATGGACCCACCCACTCCTGACCGTGGTGATATTTAATTAGTGGAAATCGAATTTCTCGCACTTTTGTGACATCACTTCCGGTTGGTCACGTAGCCCCCTCCCACGCCTCACCTGCCCTCTAGTGGTGTATTTTCAAATTTCAGGGCACGACGTCACTTCCGGCTTGGCGAAATTAAAATTTCTCGCCTTTTTGTGACGTCACTTCCGGTTTTGGTGGTCCAGAATCGGCATTGCATATGTACTATTATAAAGTGTAGAACTTCACGAACGGAAGATACAGCTTATAACTGCAGTGGATAACGAAGTATGCAGAAAATACCATTATGACATCTGAACGTTATAAGGTGTTTTTGGAGGGCAATATTCCCAAATGGGCACCAAACATCACATAAAAAGTCCCCTTATTTTACACGATAACGCCAGACCACATAAAGCACGCATGGTTCGGCAGTCAATTGTCAATAAAGGTTGGGTAGAACTTCTCCACCCATCATATCCTCCCGATATGAATCCGTGTGATTTCAATTGTTTTGGTCACGTGAAGAGAGAATTGTCAGGCACTCGTTACAACAGCAAAGAGCAGTTAGATATTGAGTTGCATAGGATTATTTCCATTTTGAATGGTGTTCGAGAATTGCCAGTAGTCTGGGAGCGCGTCGTCAGTAATGGAGGAGATTACTGAATAATATTCTGAAAGTATCCTTGTATGTTGGTTATCGCCTGTTAAAATATAGAAAATAGAAAGTGTGACACCATTAGATGACCTAATATTATTCTATAGAACAAAAAATGCACAGAAAATCTGTAGAATTTTCAATAGAATCAGCGAACATATGATACAATTTTCAATAAAAAAAGGATCTTGTAAAACTTTCTAGTGAATTCACCAGGTGTTTCGTAAATTTTTTTCGTGCATAAGATGCTGGAAATATCTCTATGATTCGTTGGAATATTCCAATTTCGTTGCTTATTATTGGATTCAGCAGGAAACTTGGTATTGCCTTGAATTGTCACGAAATTCCCATAGATTGGCGAATCTCGAAATTTTCGGCATGAACAAGTGTCATGTGTTTTTAGAGAGTAAATTTGTGAATAGAGAAATGAAAGAGGAGACTTCAATGTGTAAGTGATTAGACATGAAGGATTCTCTGTCAACTCAGCTACTCATTTTCATCATGGTCTCAAAACATTCTGAACAAATTCTAACATGTTTCTAAACAAAAAAATTATTGTTGTGAATTTTTACAGATTTTTTGGGCAACTGAGTAGAGAGATATATTTAATTATTGGAAATTGAGTGTGTTAAAAATCTTGTAGGATTTCGATGATAGGGAGGTCGGGAGGGAAAGTGAAATGGGATGGATTGCCGGAGAATAAATTAAGATGAGTTTCGTTGTTTGTCACTGTATTTAAAAACTTGATGCACTGACATATACACTCGATGGATTTCCAATAAAAAGTTGATTTACCGAAGTGGACTATACAAACACGAAATATTTAAATAATAGACCCGATAATTTACGATGAGGTTCGATAAATTTACCGATGAATTTCCCGATAAATGCGCCGATGTGCGCCCGGATAAGTTTCAGTGATTCGGTCCTGATGAGAGTCGATGGTGTACTGACCACCGTGGAACACGCTCACGACTGCGTGGGTGCTTGTCGATGGTCGGGAATTTCCGTAAGGGACGTGGAAATGAGTTGGCCCAAAAAGCCGGCCAGATTTTGAAAATCCCGCCCGTCCTGCGTCACCTCCTGGTGACGAAGTATAGTTGATGGTCCTTACTGTTGATCCTCCAGTACGTCTGCTTTGATGGGCAATGGAACTAGTCTGTACATCGCCCGTTGAATTTCCTGATGCCCTTTCCTCAGTGTGACAACTCTTGTCAGGTTGTCATGTCCTGGATGAATTTCGATGACTCGGGCGAGGGGCCATTTAGCTGGGGTTCCCGTTCATCCGTAATAAGGACCAATGAACCAATGTTAATTTCGTTCATGACTGTCTCCACCGGTAGATTTGCTGATATCGCTGAATGCACTTGCGTGCCCAATGATCCTAGAAGTTTTTGATCCTCTGGGTGATAATTTGCCACCTGTTGAGTTTGTCCGTGGTGATTTGCTGGAGTGATGGTTCAGGGACCGCTGTAAGCGGTTTCCCGATGATGAAGTACTTTGGTGTGAGGGCTGATGTATCTTGTGTGTCGTTGGTGAGTGGGAAAGAGGCCGAGAGTTGAGTATGGCCTCGACCTGAGTCAGAAGAGTCGTAAATTCTTCGTACGTCAAACTCGAGGTCATGGTGATCCTCCTGAGATGATGTTTTGTTGACTTCACAGCG